AAAAAAAAAAAACAGTTTTTTTTTTGCCAATAATGGAGTGCCACCTTACTGGGGGTCGACCCCCAGTGGGTGTATAAGCCATTTTTCTTTTTTTTCCTTTTAAAAATATATCAGGTTTTCTATAGAATATCGTAGGTTTGCTCTTTGGGTTATCCACTAATAAAAAATCTCAAATGAAATAGGGTAAGACTGACACGTCTTCCACCAAACCAAATGGGCTCCATTAAGAGTGTACAAAATAATTAAAAAAATTTGGGTGGACGCGGGTCGATTGTCGCCACGAAACTTTCAATCCGCTATCCGTTCGTTAGATTGACGGATTGGCGGATGTATGCGAATCGGTTTGGCGGTTTGAAATTTTATAAATTTTTAACATAGTTCAACTTGTGCAATTCTTCAAAAAAAAAAAAAAAGTATTACAATCAATGACTTAAAAAAGTATTACAATTACTGCATGCCTCATCCACATATTACAATCACAGCATGTCTCATTCACATAAAGTATTACAATCTGTGATTCTTAAAATATAAAAACAATTCAAACTACCAAAACTATGAACAGACCAATAGTAGAGATTGTATGTCTCTGTATTGTTACATTTATATATGTTTTTGAAAACAAAAATCAACCAGCATATATCATATTTTCTATTTATTACTTTTAAAGTTAGATTTAAAAACCAAAAAATATAAATAAATAATACGTTTATTTTTTTCAATTTAAAAAATATATTTAAGTTGAAACTTTTTTTCAACAGAATATTTGAACTCTTTTTCAATTGAAAACACAAACAAAATATTTAAACAAATTGAAAACACAAAGTCTTATAAATTATTAAGGGTGCTCGTGGTTCGGTTGCGGCCAAAGGAACCTCAAATCCGCCATCCGTCTGCCAAATTGGCGGATTGGAGAAAATCAATCCACAACCGTCCGTTCGTCATCACGCATCCGTCCAAAATGCGGCGAATCGGTTCGATTTGGTCGATTTTGACGGATCGGTATATCCGCTGCTCACCCCTAAAAATTTCTCAAACTTATGGGTTGAGTTTCCAGTTAAGTCATGTTTAAAATAAACCAACTGGAGACCTAAAGTTATAGATTGTATAAATTATAGCAAAAATAAATATTCATTTGTTCGTCTTGAAATACATTTCAATCATAATAGCATAAAATGGTTTTAATATTTTAAAATTTTTGGTTAACTTTGAACCAAAATTAAGATAGGTCCTTTATGGTGGGTTCCTGGTGCAACGTGTTCATCTCCTCGTCTGATCAAAATTTGAGCTTGATCAAAATCATTAAAGAGAGTTTTCTAAAAAAAACACATTAACGTAAAAACTTAACCAAACTTTAATTAAGGAATGGTGACTCCGTAAATTTTTGGTGAATGGAAGAAGACCTAGCCGAAGTATACTACAAGTAGGGGTGTGTACAATGTGATTCAGACGGTTTGAGAGTAAAATTATAAATCTGTTGGCTTATTTTTCCTACGAAGGAAAATATCATAAATGCGAGCGTGCCAGCAAGGATTGAAAAATCCTTACAGATTAAATTCAAGCCAATTATCAAGCAATTGTGTTGACGGTTCTTTTGCCTTAATGAAGAGGACTTCAAAATTGCCAATTGTAGAGAAAAAAAAATAAAAGAAGAATGAGGGAAACTAAGAAAGATGATTGAGTGTGTTATCCCAGGTAGGCAACCTAAGAGGGGGTGAATTGAGTTATTTAAAAAAATTTACAATATTAAAATTTATAAACACAATATTCAGAATACAAATAAAGAAAACAATAGAATAATAATTATCAATATGAAAAATAAGAGAAATAGGGAGAGAAAATCAAGCACTAAGATTTATAGTGGTTCGGTACGCCAGGCCTACGTCCACTCCCCAAGGAACCTCCTTGAGAATTTATTTACTATCAAAATAAATTAATACACCACCAAATCTTCACCAAGCTTGTGAATTTTACACAAGACTTATCTATTGAGCCTCACTCAATAATAAATGCCTCACCCTTACAAAAATCTCTCACAATAATGAATAAAAATAAGTGGTACTTAAACCTTCTTTTATAATAATTCTCTCACAAAGAGTAAATATGAAAGTGTAACAACAAAGGTTACACTTAGATCTGAAAGTGAAAGAGCAGAATACAATATACTCAAAATTTTTGGAGTACACAGAAATTTTTCTCTTTAAGTTTTTGATTTTTCTCCGCACACAACACTTTTATTTATACTCAAAAATATACTCGTTGGAACAATGACGCTCATTGCTGACGTTATGACTTACATAAGCACGCTCCTTGATTTTAAATAGTCAACAAATGTTAATAATTAAAAAGATAAAAGTAAGACTAATTTTTTCTTTTTTTTTTTTGTTTTTTCAAATATGAAGCCACCGTTTTTGTAGACACTTTAATACAAAGTTCACAACTTTCAAACACGCAAATGATTTGCTCCATCTTGTTTTATTATAATATATATATATATATACAACTCCATCTTTTTCTTCTTGTTTTATTATAATGTGATATAATCAATGAAGTGTAGTGTGATATGATATAATCAATGTAGTGTAAAAAAATTTAATTGCTCACATGATGTATTCTATTTATATTATATGCATTCTATATAATATTCTAATCAAATATTTGCATATATAGTAAAATCCGTTTAAGTAATATTTATAATAGATCTGATCATATATACC